GTAAAGTAGCATAAGAAAAATGGCAAGATATGAGACTTATAATACATTATAACTATGAGAAATATAATCCATTGTAAAAGTGGATGCAACGTGTTCATTGTCTTATAAATCATTATACTCTTAAAAGCTATAACCACAAATAAGTAAATACTATAATATTTTAAAACTGTTTTTATGAATATTCATGAGATGATACAACATATTATAAGGTTTTTTTATAATGCATTATGCATTCATTATAATGCCTTAAGAATACTCTTATAATGTATTATAAATACAGGCTTCATAGAAAGTGTTACCGAAAATTCTTACGCAAAAATGGTTATGAGGCTATATCTTCACAACGGTTTGGCGTATTGAGACCAAACTTGGTGTGTGTGCATGACATGAGACTACCTGTAGTGTTTCGGGCGCTGTGCCACCTTGTGGTCAGGAGATATAAAAAAGGCATATTTTTGCTTATAACTTCTGAATGGTTTGGCCAAAAATCACAAAACTGGTCTCTTTAGATTGAGTGCATCATGCCGAGTCGAATGATTTCCAGTTTTCCCATGTCAGCCATTTTGGGCGTCGGCCATTTTGAATTTTGTAGTAAAATGCTATATTTGAACCTTTTTAGACTCCTGAATCCTTTCCGAGTCCAGCAATACCAAACATGCCAGGTTTTGCCTTATGGTTTGTGCAATGTTGCATTTTAGCACTTAAAAAACATTTGCCAATATCTTAGAAACCGTTACTCCAATCAACACGAAACCACTGTAGGGAATTCGAAAACATAGCGTGCTGGCTATATGCTTATATCCAATTGCCAAAAATTTGATAGTAAGTGGCAAAAAAATGCAAACAAAGTCGGCAATCAGTCATTTTTTCTGTTCTCATATGTAAAAATGTCTATAACTCCAAAACAAAATGAGATATTTTCACCAAATTAGACACACATATGTATAAGCACACTCTAAGGACACATAAAAAATTTGGTGGGATTGTGCCTCTTGGTGACGCTATAACTGAACAAAACATGAAATTGCCATTGACTACAATAGATTATTATGATATAAAATGCTATATTTTACGAATGCGTTGGTGTACCATTACGAAACTTTGTATGTACCATTGAGACCATGACCTGAATGGACTTAAAAAGTTTTGAGACAGTGCCACCTTGTGGTCAAATAATTTCAAATAAATGCTAATAGCTTTCTGTGAATTTTGCGTATTGTAATGAAACTGGTATTGATTGATTCCTTGGGTCAAGCTGAGAACAATAATACCAATGTTGCCATTGTCAGCCAAACTTCCTTGTCCGCCATTTTGATTTTTATTTACACATCTACTTTTTCGAACTCCTCCTAGACCGCTGGTCCGATTTTCACCAAAATCGAATCATATCATCTTCAGACCATGCTGACAAAAAGTTATTGATTTTGTGTTGATAGACAAAATCGGTTTTGCATACCACAGCAACGAATTTGAGGCATGATGCCAAAATGTCACTTGAGGCTGTATCTCTGCAATGCTTTGGCATATTGACACCAAACTTTGTGTGCCATTGCCAACTCACACATAACACACCACATCGATTTGATAACAATAGTTTATTGATAGCCAATAAATGATGTTACTAGAGATTGTATTTATGATTTTTCAGCCGTTTTGACTAAAATCATCCTAAAATGGCTTCAATTACTCATTTCTGCAGTTGGTCTGATGCTTGCTTCTGTAGTGCTTGGCCCCGTAATTGCTGCTTGCATCTATATTTATAATTATTATTATTATTATTATTATTTATATTTCCCCAACTTGCTGTATTCAAATAGCCATATGTCATCCAATGCACTTTTTACAAATAATATATATAAAAAACAAATATTAATAATTTGGTCACACACTATTTAAAGGTCCAGTTCTTGCTATTAACAAAACATTAACTATGACTTTCGCCTCAACAAACACCTAATTTGCTGCTTATTAATAGTTAATAAAATAGTTGTCAAGTTTAAGATTAGGGATGCAGAATATGGTCATGTAGAATATGTGCTTAATAAGTACTAATAAACAGCCAATATGTTATTAATGTGCATGCTAATAAGAAACAAGTTAATAGTGAGAATTGGTCCCCATTCTAAAGTCGTATCAGATATTTTAAGCACTTCACACATTGTTCACTCATAACCACAGTCTGTAAAGGTGAAAAAGGGTGATTATTTTCTTGATAAAAACGTAAAAACAGCAACTTTTTTAAATTACAGATTTATTATAAAGTACCATATTATAAAATTACACAATTTCCCAGATTTCAGAATTGCAGTTTGACAAAACAATCAAATACGTTTCCAACCTTGTTCTACAACAATATTATTGCTGAAACAATTATGCTATCTGTACTTGTGTGCATAATCATATGAATTGAAAGTGTAATTACATTGTAACTATTCTGATTTACGTTAACTAACAATCTGTTAATCATTATGCAATGTTAAATGGGTTCATTAGTAAACTGTTACAAGCATGTTATCTTACATTTGTAGCTATTTGAATATGTTTCAGTGATGCTTGTTAATAATCAATGAATTCAATTTAAAAAGTGTTTTCTTCATTGAAATAAAGCTGAAATAAAATATAAACATTCAATAACTTAAATGAAAATTGTAAATGTTGTTTTTGGCAATTAAGTGAAAGAAAGGTTGAATACTAAAATGCAACTGAAAAAAGCTAAATACAGTAATGATAATGATGATGATATTAATAATCATAATAATAAAATACGAAAACAAAAGCTAATTCAAAACATTAGTAAATACTATACTATAGTATATAAATATTACTAAAATAACACTTAGACAGTAGCTTTGTGTGAGAAACAGATCAAATTCAAGAAGTTGCTACAAAAGCATTTACTTTGAAACTATTTTCATTCAGAAATTGAAAGTCAAAGAGTCACAAAGAAACAGCAAAAACACACTGAATTACATTTTAGAAATAGAAAGACTGAAATAGTATTTTCTTGTAAAAAGTACTCCATACTCTTTGTCTTACTTACAACTTCAGATAAATCTGACTTATTATAGTGTATGATACTTTAAAGCGTTTTTGTGTCATTTCGTTGAATCTCGACAGCCTCTGTGTTAATGGACGGAAGAAGGAAAGAAAGTCACACGGGTTAAAGATGACATAATGGAAATAAATAGTGCCAGAAAAAGCGGTTTCTTTTTTCTCCTTTTTGAATGGCAGGCTCTTTCTTTCATGTGCTCTGAATTCTTTGAGATCACTTCCTGTGTGAGCCGCTGCTTTATGCAAACACCTGGAGTGTATGTGTGTGTGTTAAAGGAATGAAGGGACTGTGTGTTCCATGTCTTTCTGAGCACCCTGCATCTCACTTTCTGCATACAGCACTAGTTCGCTCCACTTGACATCTTATGATATAGGCTATTCAGAGAAGCTGGGTTTCAACAGTGCAGGAAATCATCATCATTACAGCCATTATGGGAGCTTTGCGTTTTGTTGTGCTCTTTATGCACCATAAAATAACATAAACAAGTGATAAAACCCTTACAACAATCAATATACTGTAAGTGTTAGTGATGTTTGTCTTAACAAATAGCCTACGGTAACACTTCAGATTAGGAAACACAATAAACAATTAACTAGTTGCTTATTAACATGCATATTGCTAGCATATTAGTTGTTTATTAGTACAGATTAATGACTCTAATGAGCATTAGATCTCTTAATCCACCCAATATCTCAATTTAACAACTACTTGACTAACTATTAATAAGCCGCAAATTAGGAGTTTATTGAGGCAAAAATCTTAACTTTAGTTTTAGTTGGACCTTTAAAAAAGTGAGACCATATCAAATACAGAGTTCTGGCATGAGACTCTAGATGGCGCAGTCCGATAGGTCTAACTCAGTGGTTCCCAAACCTGTCCTGGAGGCCCCCCTGCCTGCACCTTTTGTATGTCTCCCTTATCTAACACACCTGATTCCACTCATTAGCTCGTTAGTAGAGACTGCAAGAACTAAACTGGGTGTGTCTGATTAGGGAGACATACAAAATGTGTAGGGCAGGGGGTCCTCCAGGACAGGTTTGGGAACTACTGGTCTAACTCAATCTGACCTAATGATATCATTATCACATGGCACAGCTGATTGGTTCTCTTCTGTATCGGTAGCCAATGAGCTCGCTGCTCAACATTCAAATATATGACTAGAGCTTGCCGTAGCAGTTGCAGCTTGCTTCAGAAACCCTCCACCTTCCCCAGCTCCACCTGTATAGATCTGCTACGAGGTGATTCATGTATGCTATATGGGGGTTATTTCATTTATGTTATATTTGCAGCAGCAGTATTTCTTACATGCTCACAGCAGCATGTTGTGGATGTATTGGCAGTAGCAAGTCCCGGTACTTGCTCTGCCGCACCAGCAGTGTAGCAGATCTATTCCGCCAAGACCAAATACATTAACATTGTCATGTACATTACCATGCCAATCCCTCCGAGAGTTGTCATGACAGAAATAATGTTACCTAGAATTGAGTGGTGTTTCAAATTGTCTCGCCTCTTCGCATAGCTCACGTATCTGAGTTTCACACTCATGAACAGGACTGCGTTCAGTCATTCATATGCACTGCACTTGTAATTTCGCTGTTTCACCTCACATGAAGGGTGCATTCGTTTACCTGATAAATCTGGACTTTTGGAGTTTGGCTTCTCATACTTTCAGTGTGAGAGATTTGTGGGGTTATTACATCTAAAATAATCATGAATATTTATGTGGAAAATGTTTCATAGAAATGTGGTTGTCATGCGGATCTGGAGGAAATGCTTGTGTTGTTGTTGTTATGTCATAATTAATGGTAACCTAATGCTGATTTGGTCTAAGAGTTATAAATATGTTCATGGCATGTACCTCACTGATCATGTCAAAGCACTGATTTGCATATCCATTTTTGTGTATTTTTACTTATGCATCATGTACCCCTCTCTCTCTCTGTTTCAGAGGCGTAACGGTGTTCTGATGTCGCCGTACTCAGTGACGTCATCAGTCGGTGAGCGTCGATTGGTTGCTTGGTTTCAGGTGGGCGGAGTCCAGCGTGGAGAGCAGGATCTCTACCGATGCCTCACTCAGTCGACATACGGAGCCGCAGTGTCGAACTTTGCTGAACTAATCGTCAGAGGTATGACCTGTGGTTCTTTCAACTATATCCTAGGTTTATTTATTTGCAAGTGTGCTTTTGTAAATAACTTGTTTCTTGTTACATAAGTCTATACTGCAGGCTGTTGAATGCTTAAATCTGATTGGTTGGTACATGTGTTAAGGTGTGCACTTATTTTTAAGGAAGTAAATCTAGGTCTTTTGACTGCAAACTCAAAAACACTCTCTATTGACTATATAAAAAATAAATAAAAATGAAATTAATAATAATAATGATAGTTATTATTATTATTATTATTAGTAGTAGTAGTAGTAGTATTAGTAGTAGTAGTCATTTATTGCACTGTGACAGAAATCATACATTTTTACTTTTACACTTTTACAGTGTACAATTTTACACCTTTATTTTCTCTTGATTAACCCACACACTGTATGACTGCTGGCTGGAAGCAATGGTTTATAATGTAAACATATTCATCAGTTGGGCACGTATGGATTATCGTCGTGTTCATTTTGCATAGTTTTGAAGCATCAACTTTATGGGTCCCATTGCATTATATGGAGTCACAGAGATGGATTATTTTGTCTAAAAATCTTGATTTGTGTTCATTTGAAGAAAGAAAGTCATATGCATCTGGGCCAACATGAGGATGAGTCCTGTAAATGATGAGAACATTTTAATTTTTGGGTGGACTATCTCTTTAAGACATGCGGATTTAAATTCAATATTTAATCAGTGTCAGATGGCCCCTTTATGTCTAAGCTGATGGTTCTTGTAGAAAAAGGAACCATAAATTCCAGCCATTACACTTCAAATTATATTACACTTCTGCCATTATGCTTTGCTATCGTCAGGTTATTCTCTCACAGCACAGAACGTTCTGGATTCTTCTGATCCTCTGAACTCTCAATCCAAACACGAGCACCTCTCGCTGATTCACTGTAACATCACGTCCCCACCCAGAGATCTCTTCAGCAAAAGCCAAAAGCCTGAGAGAGGTGTAACCTCCCTGACTAGAGCCCTCGAGAGAGCCGGCGGACTGATTCCGCCACTCATATCCACCAATCACAGACATATCTCACCCAAAAATAACCTAATTACTGGTGCAATCGGTTATGCAAATGACCACACGCTGCCTCGTCATGGCCCTGGTAATGATTGCGCTCGCTACAAGTGGCTCTCGTGATGGTGGCATGATTGAACGAGGGAATGAGTCACGCTTCTCCTGGAGCTGAGGTAATGTCACTGAGAGTCCACGAAACAAAGGAGTAATCCATGCTGTTGTGCGAGTGAATTATATACTTCCCACTGTGTACAGTTTATTTTTTAACTTCCGTTATTAGTTGCTGATGTGCGCTGTATTTGTGTCACACAGACACGAATAAAAGAGCAACAGGAGCGACCCATGAAACTTTGCTTTACTTGTACCTGTGTCAAAAATAGATGTGCTGGCATGACACCATACTTACCGTATAAACACATAATTCCCTTCTAGATTATAATTAGCTTCACACATGCATCACTGAATGAGTGAGTCACATGATCCTTCAGAAATCATTCTAATATACTGATTTGATGCTCAAAAAACATGTCTTGCTTTTATCACAGTTACTTGATGACTAGAAAGTTCAACAACATATACAGTTTGTAACATTAAAAATTTCTTTATTGCCAATTTTGATCAATTTGAACCGCCCTTGCTGAATAAAGGTGTACATTTATCAATCAATCAATCAATCAATCGACCCCAAGCTTTTGAATGGCAGTTTTTATATATAATATATAGCAGTGGTATTCAATTAAATGTTTTTTTTCCAGAGCCAAAGGCCAGTGGCCCTTTTTCATAACAAAAGGGTTCAATGTACAATGAAAATATACTGTAAGCACAGTCCAAAAGGAATATTTATTAAAACTAAACAGCAAAAAGGATGTGCATTTGATGTTCAGAAACTTGGCTCGTCTAGTCAAAGAATTCCATAGATATTATTAATCCTAAACACAGAAGATCCGTTGACATAGAGTTAAGTCAGTCAGATGTAGCACCAGCTGCTCTGCAGATCTTTCTGAAGAATCTCAACATTAGAAACCGGCTCCTGACCTTTATTTTGAACAAGATCCCTGATCATTTTAGTCTGATCTGAAAGTTTTATTGTGGGATATTTTTTGTTTTAATCAGCCAGATACAACAAATAAAGCGAGATTCCTGTCCACATGCATCCTGACTCAACACTTTTGCTTTCTCTTCCTGTACTCTGTAGTCCCGCCCACACCAATAGCTCCGCCCCAGCTGCTGCGCTCTGGCCCCACCTACCTGATCATCCAGCTCAACACCAACTCTATAGTGGGCGACGGGCCGGTGATCCGCAGAGAGATCGTATACCGGGCCAGCCACTCTCCCTGGTCCGAAACTCACGGAGTCAACTCACTGACGTATAAAGTCTGGCACCTGGAGCCCGACACAGAATATCGCATCAGTGTCCTCCTCACGCGGCCCGGAGAGGGAGGAACCGGCCCGCCTGGACCCCCGCTGGTCAGCAGGACCAAGTGTGCAGGTCAGTGGAATCTCTTTCTTCCTCTTTAGCCAGTTATGAAATGTTATAAAGTAACATTTTTAGTAATAAAATGCACTTGAGATAACTCAAGTGTGAAGTTGTGTGGATTCTTCTGACATCGCTGGATTTGGCCCGTGGGAAATGTGAGCGTCAGCTGTTTTTGGACAGATGTTCAAGGGACGGGGTTGAAAATTAGTGAGGTCTGGGGTGAGGTTAAGAACTGTGCTATAGTAACTCCTACAAATACAACTCATTATATACACTACTAAACACTTTAAAAGAGACAGACACGTACTGTGGATTAGGGCTGTGCGATATGGACAAAAAAAACCTATCACGATTTCTTTGATCAATTTTGTGATTTCGATTTTAATCACGATTTTGACACACACAGACATGCTTTACAGTCATTAATGCATTCAGTGTGAATTTGAAACATATTTCCAAAAGAAAACCAATTAGAGCTTTATCAAAAAGCTGTAACATGTCTCTAGAACAGACATAAGGCAAAATAATCACTAAGTAAAGGTGTAACAAAATGTCTCTAGAATAGACATGGCAGAATTTTTTATTTATTTTTTGCCGTGCATTGGTTTAAACTCAATAATTATAACTTTGTTTAACTACCACCACGAGTGCCATCTATTATTGCCTTGTTTATCTAAAAGTGCACTTTTCCTTGTTTTAAATCTAGCCCAAAAAGCCATGTGTTGACTGTGAAGCAGTAGACTTTAATTATATGCATTTATGGTGTAATTACAAAATTTCTGTGTCAATCCATGTTAATTTTTACCGCGAATAATGCGCTGTCACTTTAATTCAGCAATGTGAACGCTCTAATCCGTTAACATGTGTGCGGAAAAAATACTCACCACAGACGGAGTGTGTGAACCTGGCGTTACGTTTGTATGCCCGCCCGGTCTGTTCTGTTCTCATGCTCCATTTAGGCGCGCTGCATTCTGATTGGTTCGGATAGAGGTCGGGGGTGTGGAAAATCGTGCTATAAAGTGATTTAGAAATCGTGCAAGCTCAAATCGCGATTTTATGACGATTTCGATTAATCGCACAGCCCTACTGTGGATGTTTGTGAAAGATGTTTTCTCTGTTTTGGAGGCATGCACACTGTTACATTATACCATATTTATTGCATCAAAATTTGTTAATATTTTACCATAGGTTAGGGCTGGATAATTTTGTCTGTTGTTTATTAATCATGCAACAATACATATTACTGTTATAATTTTCATTAAGAATCATTGCTATATAGATGCTAATTTTGTCTAGTGCTCATACATTTTCACAAAGTCATGCTAAGACAATGCAACTAAAAATGCAAACTAATGCAATAGCATAGATGTCTTCACGGCTAGAGTTTGTGTATGCTATTTCATTTCATTCTGTAACCTACTTGATCTACAGACCTGTGTACTAGTGTTAAATGCTACTGTTTTTGACAACATTGATTACGATTCTGTCAGATAATATCATGATATTTTTGCATTTAAGTGCCAGTGTTGCCAGATATTGCTATAAAAAACAAATAAAACCCCCAAAATAAACCGACATGATTTCAAATCTTGGCAAAATAAGATTCGATAAAGATATCACTGACCCCAAACTGCAAGTTCCCACTTGATTAACTTTCTAAAGTGCAAAATGAAGTGGAGAAGACAAGTCCAAAAACGGTTATAATAGCTGGATCTGGCAACACTCGCTCACTCACGACTCTCTCAAGCCTTGTTCACTCTGCCATTATTTTCAAACCACGGACGCTAAACATTCTTGCAAGCTGTCTAAACTTAATTATACATTCAGACATTCATATGAGGAGTTTTAAACAGCAAATTAGTCATTCAGAGAACAAATTTGATTTCTGAACATCCTGAGGTCTGGTGATTTATTGTGACCTCTGGCTACGGGCCTGCAAGGTACCACAGTAAATTAATTTACTAAGATTTTACAGTTTTTTTTTCCAGACACCATGGAAGCACATGCATGATATTACGGGATGTCATAGTAGTGCGCCTGTTATGTGTACTCTAGCAGATAGATGAGCTCAAAGATAACAAAAATGGACTAAAAATGTTGTTTCATTTAGTTCGAATTGAATCAAGTACGAGCCAAACAGAGTCAAGTAGTCTGGTATAATCAGATTGTGGCTTTATTCTCTGGTCCTCTGAGGAGTGTGTTGTTTGTGTGGCTAAAGTAAGCTGGACACAGCTGTAGTATAAATGTACTTGTGTTGTAACCTTGCTTTTGGACTTCCTAATGTATCAATGTCAAAGGTGCTCTGAGACTCTTGCAGCAGAAGAACACGGTCCCTGAACAAACTTTGCACCGCACACATGTTGCTAATGTGGCAGACATCTTTATTTTTGGCACCTGATGTTGAGGGTGGTTAGACGCATTACCGCTGTATGCCTGTATTACTCTGCATAATTTTGTATGTATATCTGAATATTTATATTGTAATATAATACTCAGTGAGTTATTTTCATGTATGTACTGTACGGTATATTGCTAACATACAGATAACCTTATTATTACAACCAACCAACCGAACGAACAAATTCATTCGTTCATTCGTTCATTCACACATACTTTTGCTCTATTTGATCTTCCTCTTTTCAGGAATCATAATTTTTTTTCCCCTGTCTATGGCTTTTTTCCTTTGCTCTGTGTTTTCTGTCACTGTATCTCTCTCTCTCTCTCTCTCTCAGTCCTGAGTGAAACAGATTACATTTATATCAGAGGTCAAACTTGAGTTCTCAGCGGACGTGTCTCTGTCTGCTGTGTGTGTGTGTGTGTGTGTGTGTGTGTGTATCCTGGTGGGGACTTAAACCTGACTAAATACAGACTCATGGAGACTCGTGTCATGGTGGGGACCTAAATTGTGGTCCCCACGGGTACAAAAGCTTATAAATCATACAGAATTAAGTTTTTTGAAAATCTAAAAATGCAGAAAGTTTCCTCTGATGGGTAGGTTTAGGGGTAGGGTTAGTTTAGGGCAATAGAAAATACGGTCTGTACAGTAGAAAAACCATTAGAGTGACGTTTACCGTTTCCGGAAGTTTGTGGTCAAAATCCAGGCATTTCAATAGGATTCCACCCATAAAGCATCCGTATCGTTTTGTACGATTTTGAAGGGGTCAGATTAACATTTTGAAAATTTTCTTTGATATTCAATAACAAATGGGTTCAATGTGCAATGAACATATACCGTAAGCATAGTCCAAAATGACTATTTAATGCTTATTTGATGTTCAGAAACTTGGCTCGTCCAGTCACAGTATGCAATAGATACTATTAATCCTAAACACAGAAGATTTGATGACAAAATAGTTAAATGTGGTAAAGTCTGTCAAACCTTGAGTTGTCTCTGTCTCAGCTGCTCTGCCGATCTTTCTGAAGCATCTCAGCATCCGAAACGATTACCTGACATCTATTTTGAACAAGATCTCTGATCATTTTAGTCTGATCTGAAAGTTTTAAGTTGCACGTTTCATCGCAAGTTATTTTTGCTTCTTTCTTTCTCTTGCTGTACTCTGTTGTAGTCCCGCCCACACCCATAGCTCCGCCCCAGCTGCTGCGCTCTGGCCCCACATACCTGATCATCCAGCTCAACACTAACTCTATAGTGGGCGACGGGCCTGTGATCCGCAGAGAGATTGTGTACCGGGCCAGCCATTCGCCCTGGTCTGAAACGCACGGAGTCAACTCACTGACATATAAAGTCTGGCACCTGGAGCCGGATACCGAATATCGCATCAGTGTTCTCCTCACGCGGCCCGGAGAGGGTGGGACCGGCCCTCCTGGACCCCCGCTGGTCAGCAGAACCAAGTGTGCCGGTGAGCGGACTCTCTTTTTTTCCTCGTTAGTCAGTTATTAAATGTTTCATTAAAAATGTTTAGTGTTAAAATGCACTTGAGACCACTCAAGTGTGAAGTTGTGTGAATTCTTATGAAAATCAGTGGATTTCGCCTGTGGTAAATGTGACTGTCAACTGTTTTCAGACAGATGTTCAAGGCACCACAGTAAATTAATTTACTAAGGTTTTACAGTTTTTTTCCCTCCAGTAAGCATGGAAGCACATGCATGAGATTATGGGATGTCATAGTAATGCTGTCACATGGACTCTAGCAGATAGATGAGCTCAAAGATAACAAAAATGGACTAAAAATTTTGAAAACCACAATTTCATTTAGTTCAAATTGAATCAAAGATGTGCCAAACAGAGTCAAGACGTCTTGTATAATCACATTTTGGCTTTATTCTCTGGTCCTCTGAGGAGCGTGTGTTGTTTGTCTGGACACAACTGTAGTATAAATGCACTTGTGTTGTAACCTTGCTTTTGGACTTCGTAATATATCACACAGCTATGTGTGTGTGTGTGTGTGTGTGTGTGTGTGTGTCATATCCAGCAGTTAGGCCATTCCTCATCAGGCCTGTGGGAGTTTCAGTAGATGTGTCTCATTAATTTGTGTAATCAGGTTGATTTGTCTGGAGGACTCTGAGGGAGGGCAGAGGTGCGGGTCTGCAGGAGTAAACACAAGGCATTATGTTGCATTAAGGACAAGGACAACTTAATGGTTTTCTTTAAGCAAAATAGGATTTCAGATTTGTTGCCTTTTGTGGGTGAAATATGAACTGGAGATGTTTTGGCAGAACCTCTTTTTCATGTTCAGGAGATGTTTTCATTTTAAAAGTACAATGGCAGTGTTAATTCATCAGTGTGCATTTGCTGTAGAGCTCCTCATGCTGTAATGCCAAGTGCATTTATATTTACAGACACGCAGGACTCTGGGCTCGTCTCCTGTCTGTCTGTCTCTCTCAGAGTGAGAGCGAGGGAATGAAAGTGACAGGAAAGAGAGACGAGGACCCCTGCCTTCACACATGACATGTGTAATTAACTCATAGCAGCTCTAATCGCATCTGCACTGAGAGAGAGGAAGCAGAGCTTTGTGAAATGCTAATTTATATGTAACGATAACTCTTTGAGTGACCTATTAAATGTACTTTATTGCTCTCGCTCTCTCACTGCTTTCATAACTTTAGAGTTCATACATGTTAGTGAGAAGCGTCAACCTCTCTCTCTACGGCTCTGTACGTCTGTCAGTTCATGAATTGCTCTGTTTTCCCAGGGAAAACAGTTATCGTATGATTACAGAACCTGTTAAATCTAATTTGGAGATTTGTGTCTTATAGTCCATATCTGTTGGCGTTGAGTTATATGCTAGTGTACTAAATGCTGGAAATATTTTCAAAACGTTTGTCAACTTAACTAAGAAAAGCGACTAAAGGACAAGGCTAAGATACCTTGTTGTGACTCAATTCTAAAGTACACCAGACAAGCAGTGGATTGCTATTCGTAGGCCATTATCTGCCAAAAGTATTATGCAAATGAGGAAGCTAATAGTAAGTTTGATTTGATATACTCGTTTACTTACAAAATTACAATTATTCAATCAATTAGTGTTTAAACCCCACCCACATCTCAACATCCAATCAACAATTGGATTGGGGTTATTGGTTACGTCGCAATGTTGGAAATATTTCTGTTTTCAACCATGAAGGCGAGCCAATGGATATCACACACAAGCAACGTGCAAACTTTGCGCAAGAGTTATGCCGTTTAACGTCTTAATCTCAATCAATTCACTGCAGAAAGTGAAAGTAAAAACGGAACGACGGAGCTTTCTGCATCTGACGCCGCATATTCTCTCAGAGACGACGAGACGAATCTACTTCAACATGTGCTGATGATGGTATATAACTAACTGTTTTCATTTATTCCCTTAATATTTCTAATATTACATAGTGAAAAAAAATGAGAAGAAACATATTTCATGTTAAACAAGTTATTTTTGAAAGTCGGTGCTTGAAATAAAAACTTATTTCATTGATATTTATGGATGACTGCAGTGTTAATATTTTAATTGTAGACCTATAAATCATTATGTAATAGACATTGTATAAACATTTTAATTGAGGAGTAAATATATAGCCTAATCTTTTGTTATCCTCGCAGCACGTCAGTTATTTGGTAATTATTGCGGGGCAAATTAATTGTAATTTTAATTTAACGCACAGTCCCAGCAAGGGGAGGTTATCGCGGGGGAGACGGTGTGTTGCCTGTTCGTTTGGGCTGTCTTGTTGAGCGCAGTGGTACTGAGAACATCATATTTCACACACTTTAAACTGTTTTATTTTCCAAATGTAATAGGATTAATCCAACGAATAGTTTGGTTGTAATGCGCACCGAACTAAAAGCCTCGTAAGTATATATATATATATATATATATTTGCCAATTGCATGGTCGACCAAATATTGACCTTGGAAGCATATTGGTCAACCACTAACTTAAATTTTATAAGAACAAAACAAGTTGAATAATGAATGAATGAATTCAATTCAATTCAATTCAATTCAAAAGCTTTATTGTCTGTCCCCAATGGGGTAGAAAAGTGTCTTTAGACAAAAGACTCAAACAATACACTTAATCATCACAGCAACACATTACATATATCAAAAAACACACAACTATATTGATACATAATAAATTCATTTTAAGATCCTATTTAAAATACCAATCATAGTTGGAATGAAGGTCTTCTTATACTTGGCCTTTTTCACTAAAGGCACCAGTAGCGGCTCCTGACCGTAAATTTAGGTGGGGCAGATTCTGGGTCGTAGCGCTAATATATGAAAAACATTTTGTAAGCTTTATATTCTAATCTCTGAACACATGGGGACACAATTTTGGCAGAGATGTCCTTGCGTTATCCTGTGGGTGGCACGCTAATGTTGACTGACACTTAATATAGTATTTATCACCTCCAAATGTTGATTTAGAATGTTACAAGTTGTGGAGCAATTCGGGTGAGGAAAGAAGATCATATGTCTATTCTCAGAATAAACAAAACAAACACATTTAAGCACATTTAAACTAAAGGATTTATACTTTGTTAATTTGATCCACTACTCCACATAGAAAAAACAAACAAACAGACATGCCAACTAGTTACTGACCTGATGCAGACACATAGCTGAAGCGGATTGATATCGTCTTGGTGGAGCGAGGTTCACGTAAGGTAACGTGAAAAATCGTCTCAAATCTGCCCCAATGGCTCTCAATTAGGGCGTGCTGCAGTTCCCCTTTTCACCACAGATTTACATTGCAAAATTGTGGGGCGCTGTTGAGCTCGGGAGGTCTCAGGCACCATCTGTCCCGCTTAGTATCATGCATACATGCCTGCTAAAGCCATGCGTGGGATTTTAATATATACTGCTTACTTTACGACTTAAAATAGTCTAGAAAATCTGAAAAATATGTTGCAGAATGCTGAACACATTTACAATTTATAATTGATTCAGTTTATATAGAGGTCTATGTTTTGGATGGAAATTTTGGTGGGGACAAGCCGCGCTGCCAGAAGTAACTGCACTTTATACCGTCTGCCAGAAGGAAGTAACTGGAAAGAACTGTACAGGGGATGAGAAGAGTCTCCCACAATAACAGAGGCTTTCCTTTTTAATGCCACAGTAAAAAGATCAGAAAGAGGTGTTTGTCTCTCACCAACTATTTTACTCGCCATATTTATAATCCTTAAAAAGTGTGTTTTTGCTTTTAACAGACAGAGAGTTGAACCAGGATACAATATTAAAAGTAAGTGAAGTGACATGTGGCCAAGTATGGTTACCCATACTAGGAATTAGTGCTCTGCATTTAACCCATCCTAAGTGCACACACACACAGCAGTGAACACACACACACCGTAGTGGGCAGCCATTTATGCTGCGGCGCCTGGGGAGCAGTTGGGGGTTCGGTGAGGTGCTCAAGGGCACCTCAGTCGTGGTATTGAAGGTGGGAGAGAGCGCTGGTTATTCACTCCCCCCACCTACAATTCCTGCTGGACCGGAGACTCGAACCTGCAACCTTTGGGTTACGAGTCCGACTCTCTCACCATTAGGCCACAACTTTCCCACAGTCTGTGGAGATGCTGGGGAAAAGTAAGAAAAGTAAGAATGAATGAATGAAAATAATAATTCAAGATGTCAGACAAGCCAAGAGACATGGTGATGGTATTTCAATCATTCAATACTTAAGGGTATCAAAAACAGTAGTTTTGTGTAATTAAAAGCAAGACTATTTATTATGTTTGTTATAGGTCTATTAGAGTATTCTGCCAGCTAACTCAAACTGGAGTGAAAATGTGAAATGTAATTCCCTCTTCTCTGTCCTCAGAGCCCATGCGTCCTCTCAGAGGACTGACGGCGTCGGAGATTCAGTCTCGCCAGCTGCTGCTGCAGTGGGAGCCGGTGGGCTACAACCTGACGCGCTGTCACACGTACTCGCTGTCGCTCTGCTACCGCTACTCCACGGCCACAGGGGGCGGAGCCGGTGGGAATAACGCCACGGTGAGGGAGTGTCTGTCGGTGGAGCGGAACACCTCCCGCTTCACGCTCCGGGACCTGCCTCCATTCCACGCCGTTCACGTGCGGCTGGCGCTGGCCAATCCTGAGGGCAAGAAAGAGAGCCGAGAGGTCACCTTCCAGACCGAGGAAGACAGTGAGTATTCATTCATTCATTCCTTCATTCCTTCATGCAGTTATGTTATGGGAATTACTGTACCTTTTTCTAACACTTTTCATTAAGCTTTTATATATAATGCGTAGTATTTTAAATTGTGCATTAAGTGTGCCTTCTAATGCACCTTATAATGCATTGTATAATCTCATGAATAATTATAAACACAGTTATTATACATTAAAATAATAGTCATTGTTACACCTTTGGAAAATATAATGCAATGAAACATGGCTAACAGCCAGTTGCAAATACAATAATGCATTTTAACTTTGGTTACAATTATTTATGAAAAGGTGTTATGCATTATAACTTATATCACGAATACCTTTGTAGTGCATTATAGTCTTCAAGTAACTAGATTGTTTTGCATTATGGTGCCTTAAAAAGCTTTGAAAACAGTTTTTTTTCACTACATCTACTATAATAACATTACAACTCCTCACTCTTTGATTTTGTATCATTTAAGTTACATAATCAGTCATTTCTAAATTTTAACTGTGAAAACCAGCGTTTAGCATGCGGGGGAACATTAACTTTATTAAATCAAGCACTAAATGAACAGACCTTGTGCAGATGCATTCATAGAGGTTTTAATGAGTCAGCATTGTCTTGATTGAAAGCGCCATCATTTTCATTTCAAGGACTGTTTTGATAAATTCATAACACAATGTATCCATTAGTGTTTAAGAACCGTTCTCTGCAGAACAAACTCTCAAACAGCTCAGCGAGTGTTTTCACTTCTGATGAAGAATCACATTATTATACTCCATATCTGCATGTTGTTCGTAAACTCTCTGAGTTTGATTAAACTTTCATTTACCCGGAGGTGTTTTTTTTCTTCTTTTTTTCTTTTTTTGCACGGGTCAGTAGCCATAACCCATCCATCTTTGCAAAGGCCTGTATTAATCTGAGTGATTATGATGTTGCGACTGCAGCAGGGCCCAGTTTGCCCGCAGTGCTCAAACCCCAATTATAGCAACAACACAAATATTGACTCACAGAACACCACGCTTCAGCATAATTAAATGGAAGATCATACTTGTAAATGGAAGTATATGAAAAATGAATAAGCTAAGGCCACCAGCAAAATGGAATAAAGATTTTTGGCTTATTTTTGCATTTTTATTTACGCCGTGTGTCGGGCGGTGCGGGTTCGCATTCTCATGCAAATGCTTTAAGAGGAAACCCTCAGAGGTCAAGTGAAAACCTCCCCATCTGAAAAATGAACACGGCTCAGAATGAATGCTCGCCATTTATCATTTTCTGAAATTAAAAACATATTTTCTGTTGGTTTATTGTACAGCGATAGAGCTTGTTTGTGTTTGATGTGTTTGGTTAATTGGAAACAACAGCTAATGAATGAATTAATTCGTCTGTAAAGCGTCTGTAGTTGGGAAATGCATGGAAAGTAAAGATTTTTTGGTTAGATTCTGAAAGCTCTTGGACGACTACTCATTTTTTACTACCGCTCTAGTCAGTGTTGACTTTATCTCAGCACATGCCATGCAGCATCAGCAGTCTTCTGCCAACTCCAGCGCTGTCAGAGACGCTTCAAAAAACACTCACGTCCCAGTTATGTAGAAGCCACAGTACCAAAATTGGTTACTGTACAAAATGAAATATCCCTTAAAAAGTGTTAGCGCTGGCGTGAACTGCATAAGCCAAACAATATGCCCAATTCATAAAATAACATATGCTGAATAAGAACATTTGACAGTTTTGTAAATGCACAAAACAACATTTACACTCTTCAGAGTTTTGCAGCCAATACTTGAACACACAAAACAATAAAACATAATCAACAATTTGATTCAACTCAAAATACATCACATACAATTGAATTTGATTGGATGTATTTTGACATCAACAGCAAAAGGCTTAAGGGGAAGTCGTGGCCTAATGGTTAGAGAGTCGGACTCGTAATCCAAAGGTTGTGGGTTTGAGTCTCGTACCGGCAGGGATTGTAGGTGGGGGGAGTGAATGTACAGCGCTCTCTCCCACCTTCAATACCACGACTGAGGGGCCCTTGAGCAAGGCACCAAACCCCCAATTGGGGACATGGCTGCCCACTGCTCCGGGTGTGTGTTCACGGTGTGTGTGTGTGTGTTCACTGCTGTGTGTGTGCGCTTTGGATGGGTAAATGCACTAATTCCAAGTAACTATGGGTAACCATACTTGGCCACATGTCACGTCACTATGTCACGTCAAAAGATATGGGAAGTGTTTTCTTCTCTCTTTTAATAGTTGACAAGCTTATTTAATTTGTTATTTAGCATTGTACATAGCATTGTTTTCTGGTTGCACTTTTATTTTACAGTACATGCATTTACAGTCCACTTCCCCAAGAAGGTACTAAGTAATATAAGGTAACTACAATTTATAATTTGCTCTGGGTGGATTAAGGGATCTAAAATATGGTCATGCAGAATACGACATGAATATGTGCTTTATTAGTACTAATAAACAGCCAATATGCTAGTAACATGCATGCTAATAAGCAACTAGTTATTAGTGATCTGTGACTAGTTTGCACAGACACTACGTCTAGATTTCAGTGATTCTTTTGATTCCATTAGCAATGTAGTACTTCGGTGGAAAGGGGGGAAAGAGTAGACAATATGTCCTTAATTGCAATCATGCCTTGAACTGAGTTTGTCTGAGAGCCGTCTGTGAAAAAAAAAAAAGCCTCATGTGGCACATTCCACTTTTTCAAATAGCTGGCATTGATGCATTTGCACAGTAATATCAGTTGCTGTGTGCCACATAACAAACATCTATAGGTGCTGTCTACATTCACCTGCATTTATGTTGTATGCTTTGGCCAATAATTGCTTTTTGCAACTATATTTTTATCAAAAGAACCAATTTTGCACTAGTTCTAAATTCCCATCTGTGTTTGCATGAGGGAAATCATCTTTCTTTAACACTTCTGCCCTCTTTTCTCAATGCTATCCACGTCTCTGCATTTGAATACTGCAGTCAGTCTTTCTATAGCTCGTAGCATTCACGATCGCCTAAGTTTTCCAAACTTTCGATCCCTAATGAGATGACTTCAGCCTGTAGCCATGCTGGATGACTGTGGCCTGGTTGGAAGTTAGATCCCGTTTTCTCTCTTAAAAATGAGTCTAGCACCATGATGTCTCTCTTTCTCTCTCTCTCTTTTGCAATCTGCCCTATTTTCTTCCATACGGTGTGTTGGTAAAGAAGACAAATCGTCTGCCCTGGCGTCTACCGCTGCACTCAGTTATGAGATGTGTCTGTGGTCTCTTACCCTCTCCTGTAGTCTGGGTGTCATCTCACCTCCACCTGTGGCATCTCCACCTTCATCTCAGCTGCGTCTGATACTCTGTTTAGTAAGATTGATCTGACCGTACTCTTTGATCTGACTCTTTCCTCGTGTTTCCTACAGTCCCAGGAGGCATTGCACCCGAATCTTTGACCTTCACCCCATTGGACGATATGATCTTTCTGAAGTGGGAGGAGCCGCTGGAGCCCAATGGTCTGATCACGCAGTATGAGGTACTGTAGAGTGTGTTATTATTTACAAGGCATTGTAAATGGAGAAATGGAAACTAACAAAACAAAAGGCTAAATAACTGGTGCATATCAATCTAATATTTAGCATTTAAACTACTGTAGATCTGAAGTGGTGTTTATACCATTTAAAAATATATGATTTATATGTTTTAATGTGACACAGAGACAATGTAGATATATTTAAATATATCATCAAAAAGACCCATTACTACCCTTGTGAAAAACATTACTTGTTTCGGAAATAATATAGTAAAAGACTGAATGTAAGGTTTGTGGACACTTAATTGCAAGCTATTTGCATTAAAATATTATTGTATGTATTGTATGTTATATATTAAATGCAATTAGCTTACTTTGAGTGCTTTTATGACTCACTTAAGTAGGACTTCATTATATATTTTTATCTAATATCATAAATATTTTTGTATTGTCTTTGAAATGTGGTAACAATTAAATTGGTAAATCAAGTATGCTGTTATTGGTAAATTAATTTTACTTTCATGTGATTTTCCTTTGAAACTTGCATGCGATGTTTATAAATGCGCAGTATTTGTAGTTACGCGTTTGTAAAGAAGTTGCAATTTAGCTCATTTGAATTATAGTAACTTCAAATGTAATATTGAATAACACACGACAGTTTACATTATAATCAAATACTTTACATGTGCTTCATGCAGTGTTAGTCAAAACAAGTGCACTTCTTTAAAGCATGACAAAAGGTTTTTAAAACATGATTTAATTTGACATGATTACAAAGTGCACTTTTTAAAGGTGTTTTTAAGTGTTAAGAAACAGTCATCAAAGTGTGTTCTCTTTAAGTACACTTAAGTGGTCTTTACTTTCATTCATTTTATGTTATCTGCAAGCACAGTAAAAAAACAAACAGATTTGAAGTACACTACAAGTGCCAATTCAGTACAGTTAAGCGCACTTCATTTTCACATGGGTATTTGCAGACAAAGTCTTTTTGGTGTTTTCCAATTTGTGTGTGTGTGTGTGTGGAGAGAGGTCTGACTGCACTGTGAAATGCTGCTCCCCCCCCCCCCCTTTTTTGTGTTTTATTTTCCAATTTTTATAAAAGAGGCAAAAGTTTTGGCA